ATTGTCCAGTCAATGTATTCTGGCTTCCCTGGGAAGGTAATGTGAAATTTGGTGACAAAGCTCGCTTTAGGATGGGTAGAGTTTCATGGAAGACAATTTTCCATGGACCAGCAGCAGGGGTGGGGGTGGGGGTTGTGGGGGAGGCCTGGTGGAGCTCAGGCAGTGATGCCCGCCCAGTTCCTAACAGGCCATGGACCTACCAGGCCAGTTCCTACCAGGTTGGCCGGGGCTTGGGGACTGCAGTTGTAGGCAGTTCCTGGAGAGGGACTTAGCCATAAGCCATCCGCAGATCACAATTCCATCAGTGCCTCAGTTCTGAAGAGGGTTCTTGGTGGCACACCACAGCATCTACACCACTTCTTTGCATTTGCTCAGCCTATTTATTTTGTCAAGAGCATTTCTTCCCTTTCAGGATGAAGAGAAGGAGGGACCGGAGCTCGCGGTGAGCTCGCGGGACGGGGTGCCCACCCAGCACCCCCTCTCCCTCCTGCCCTCCGGCAGCTACGAGGAGGACCCGCAGACGATTCTGGACCACCACCTGTCCAGGGTCCTCAAGACCCCTGGCTGCCAGTCTCCGGGCATGGGCCGCTACAGCCCCCGCTCCCGCTCCCCGGACCACCACCACCACCACCAGCAGTACCACTCCCTACCCCCGCCCGGGGGCAAGCTGCCCCCCACGTCGGCCTCGACGGGCGCCTGCCCGCTCTTCGGGGGCAAGGGCTTCGTGACCAAGCAGACAACGAAGCACATCCACCACCACTACATCCATCACCACGCCGTCCCCAAGACCAAGGAGGAGATCCAGGCGGAAGCCACGCAGACGGTGCGCTGCTTCTGCCCTGGGGGCACCGAGTTTTACTGCTATTCAAAATGCAAGAGCCACCCCAAGGCTCTGGAGCCCATGCCGGGCGAGCAGTTTGGCGGCAGCAGAGGCAGTACCTTGCCCAAACGAAATGGGAAAGGCACGGAGCCGGGCCTGGCCCCGCCGGCCAGGGAAGGAGGGGCCCCCAGCGGAGCTGGGGCCCTGCAGCTTCCCGGGGAGGAAGGAGACAGGTCGCAGGATGTCTGGCAGTGGATGCTGGAGAGTGAGCGGCAGAGCAAGCCCAAGCCCCATAG